AGTAAGGTACAATATTAGTTCAGTGTTTTACTTTGCACCTACTCTACATCTTCACATACTGCACCCGATGGCACTGAAGGCAGAGGAGCTCTCCTTCCCATTCCTCTCGCGGCTTAACGCACCTCAAAATTCGCCCACTTCGTCCCTTTCGTGGCTAGCGTGCAAGCAAGCCCTACTTATAAGCGCTTCAGGGCGAGTGACTACACTCGCGGAAAAGAATAAGACCTTGGGCAATTCAAGTCGGCGTGAGGTCTGGAATTTAGTAGAGCCAGACCCCTGGCAAAGCTCTCCCCGACTCGTTTGAAATCTTCCCGCAGGTGGAGGGACGCACGTCCTGCAGTTCGCAGCTGTTTTTACGTACCCTTCATTGGCTTCCAGTAGAATTCAGGATTCAATTTAAGATTATTGCAATTACTTTTAAGGCGATTTATGGACAAGCTCCAGTATATCTACAAGAACTCATTAGCCAAAAGGAAGAAAAGAGATACAATTTAAGATCGTGTGCAATGGGAATCATGCTTCTAACGCGTAGAACTTTAACTAAAAAGACATTGGGAGACCGCGCTTTTTTAGCTGCGGCCCCTAAATTGTGGAATGGGTTACCATCACAAATACGAAATGAGTATAATTTTAATAGGTTCAAAGGATTACTAAAGACCCATCTTTTAAGATTAGCTTTTTATTAGGACTTTTTTTTTATACTATGTATATACTACATTTTTATAGATCCTTTGCCTTTTTATAATATTTTTATTTATTTTGGATAACTCATTAATGTCGATAATTTCATTTCATGTAATGCGCATTTGATCATCTATTACATGTATTTTGCCGTCGTAATGGCTTGTCACGCATTCGTGTCACGTTTCAGAACGCGAGACGCGTCAAATACGTCCGCGCTACCCTCCCCTCCCGTTAGGATGATAAAATTCTAAATAATTAAAGGTTTACACCTCTTACGGTAAATGCTTACCTCAGTCACAGTACTTGTAAAGGATTTGTCGAAGGCATAACTGGTACAGTTGTCACAGCACTTACTTTCTTCGCAAGTGACGTTGGGTGTCACGCAATAAAACTTTGGTGTACCAGTGGCGAACACCAGCGAGGCTATTTGAATGGCGCTCGGGACTATAACAAGGAAGCATGATGAAAAATACAAAAACTTCTGCCACGAACCAAATTCACCAACATAAGATAAGATATCGTCAATATGGCGAGTCTCGGCGTCTTTTTCTTGGACCATTCTATCAAATAATTGAGGGAAAATAAAGGGAAAAAAAATTCAAAAACTAGTTTGCGATGAGTTGAAGGCTAATTTTCACTCTGACACTAGGGAGAATACACTTGAAGGAAAACTGTGGCTGATTAATTCGCAGAAGAAGAATTATTAGGATTGTTTGGTCGCTTTTGTTTAAAATGTCTCTTTACAAGGCTAATTGGGTATTTTTTTACTAATTCTTCAGAAAAGGCATTGATCAAAAAGAGAAAGCATCAATTAATACCTTTACCTCCTGAGGATCACCTTCAGGAAAATCAGAGTTTCCGAAAAAAATTAGGGATTTCAAAAAGAAGACAAATGATGGAAAAATTGAACAAACAAATAATGAGCAAGGAAGCGATAAAAATTAATTTGCGTGGCTCCTACTTTTGAGGTACCAAAACGTATTTAAAACCCTCTTTTTTGTCTTGAAAAACAACGGACGTTTCAAGAAGATGTGTTCTCCGTGGATTTCCTCTGAATTGAAAGACCTTATGCATAATAGAGACATATTAAAAATCAAAGCTAGCAAGACAAATGATCCTAACGATTGGGCATTATTTAAGAAACAAAGAAATATAGTCAATAAGCAAATACGCTCAGCTAAACAAGTTTATTACCAAAATAGTTTTAATAAGCAGACCAGCGACTCCCGAAAGACCTGGCAGACTATAAACGAGCTAACTTCTCGAAAATCTGGGAAAACGCCAGTGGCGTCACTAAAAGTGAACGGATTAACGATAACTAATCCGTTGGAGCTATCAAACGAATTCAATAACCACTTT